TGTGCGGTTGGTCAGACTGGCTCATGTCATGGCTGCCAACTTTTACACTTAAAAACTATTGACAAACAAAATATAGACAAACTTAAAATCTAAAACATAGCAATTTTGAACAAAATTTTTGCCCAAAAACAATACTGTAATGATGCCCCAGCCTCCATATTCGCCAGACATGCCTCTGTCTGACTTTTTTCTATTCCCAAAAATAAAGAGAACCTTAAAGGGCCGTCGTTTTGCAAGCATAGATTACATTAAAAGCGCATCGCTGAAAGAACTAAAGGCTATCCCAAAGATCGAGTTTTAGAAGTGTTTCGAGTATTGGAAGAAGAGCTGGCACATGTGCATAATATCCAATGGGGACTATTTTGAAGGCGACAACATTAATGTAGACGAATAAATAAATATTTGTTTCAAAAAACGAAAATTCCCGATATTTTCTGAACACACCTCGTAGTTTCTCGTAATTACTTAAGTATGGTTGTTTGTAAATTGGCATAGGGGTACCTGCTATTTAAATACTAATTAAGCAATAATATACAATTGATTTATTTGCAATTTTCATGTAATGGCATATCAATAACCGTAAAACCGCTATCTTCATAACGGGACAACATAAAATTAAACACAAAAATGATATTGTATTGTACAACCGGTATAAGATGAAAGATAAAAAATTATAAATGAAATAATATATTTTGACCTAATAAATAATCGAAAATCCACTTTGTGCAACCGAATAATTCGTATAAAGAAACTCGCAATCAAGTAGCTTATGAAATAATCCCTTATAAGGAAGATCCAAGTCATAGCGACCTCGATATCCAACACAGTGACTCAGAAGCAATGGCAGAAAATTGAAATCGTAGGCGCCCGGTTTAAAAACGGTCGAAATCGAAGGTAGCCATGCTTTTTGCGGAGACGCAAGTGATTCAGTTGTTTGCGCAATGACTACTTTCACAATTAAACAGTAAAAAAATAATTATATTAACTATAAATAAAATACAAAAATCTACTTACACATTAAAGCTCTGTGGATTTGTTATTTTTTACCCAATTTTAAAAACTAATATATCAAATGGTAGATAATTTCATTCACTTTTGGAAAATGTAAATATATTTATATGCCACATTGCTAATTTTTCGAGATAATCCACAAAATATAAAGTCGTGTCAATTTTAGTTCTCCTAAAATCAAGACCAACTTTGACAGTCTGTACTTTCGTTATTTTTTAAACAATTTAAAAAATTAATATATCAAATGTTAGATAATTTAATTAACTTTTATAAAATGTAAATAATTTTATATCCCCAATACTAATTTTTTGAGATAATCCACAAAATTTTTTCAACCAATTTTAAATATAATTTTATGAAATTTCATCCAAGTTGGAAAATTTAGAGGAAATACTGAACTATTTTTAAATAAACCTTTTTAATACATTATCATTAAATTATTAACGTTTTCACTGCCAATGTCAAGACCTCCCCTTTACAACAACAGCTGTAACTCTAAAAAAAAACTTCCAAGAACGGAACCAAACTTTCTTTTGTTATGATCTATGGCATATTGGTAACCAAGCAACCGAAATGACCAATGGCTAGCGCGTGTATCTACAAACAACTGAGGACGATTTTCAAGCGATAGTGCGATGTGATGATTCAATTAATTTTATCGCGAAAAATTTTGTGTTGACGGTGAAAATGCAAAAATTTGTTTACGGCAGTTTAAGTAACGTAGTCTCGTTGGATTTGGACACATCGTGGGCGGCTGAAAATTTTCGGAAGACCCTGCAATTCGGGAAATTTGATGTAAGACGTAATTTTTGTTTTATTAATCCCGGTGCATTCGCCATTTTTGCAAAACTATTGGATCTCTTAAAATTAAGACCAACTTCTGTAGTCTTGTTATTTTTTAACCAATTTTAAAAATTATTTCATCAAATGTTAGATAATTTTATCCACTTCAAGAAAATGTAAATTTTTTATATGCCCCAGTACTAATTTTTGGGGATTATCCATAAAATATAAGGTCGGGTCAATTTTAATTCTCTTAAAATAAGACCAACTTTGACAGTCTGTACTTTTGTTATTTTTGAACCAATTTTAAATATTAATATATCAAATGTTAGATAATTTCATTTACTTTTGAAAAATGATAATATATTTATATGCCACATTAATAATTTTTCGAGATAATCCATAAAATATAAAGTCGTATCAATTTTAGTTCTTATAAAATTAAGACCAACTTTGACAGTCTGTACTTTTGTTATTTTTTAACCAATTTTAAATATTAATTTATTAAATGTTAGATAATTTTATTTACTTTTGGAAAATGAAAATATATTTATATGCCACATTACTAATTTTTCGAGATAATCCACAAAATATAAAGTCGTATCAATTTTAGTTCTTATAAAATTAAGACCAACTTTGACAGTCTGTACTTTTGTTATTTTTGAACCAATTTTAAATATTAATATATCAAATGTTAGATAATTTCATTTACTTTTGGAAAATGTAAATATATTTATATGCCACATTACTAATTTTTCGAGATAATCCATAAAATATAAAGTCGTATCAATTTTAGTTCTTATAAAATTAAGACCAACTTTGACAGTCTGTAGGTTTGTTATTTGTTACGCAATTTTAAAAAATAAAATATCAAATGTTATATAATTTTATTTACTTTTTAAAAATGTAAGTATATTTATATGCCACATTACTAATTTTTCGAGATAATCCACAAAATATAAAGTCGTATCAATTTTAGTTCTTATAAAATTAAGACCAACTTTGACAGTGTGTACTTTTGATATTTTTGAACCAATTTTAAATATTTATATATCAAATGTTATATAATTTTATTTACTTTTGGAAAATGTAAATATATTTATAGGCCACATTACTAATTTTTCGAGATAATCCACAAAATATAAAGTCGTATCAATTTTAGTTCTTATAAAATTAAGACCAACTTTGACAGTCTGCACTTTTGTTATTTTTGAACCAATTTTAAATGTTAATATATCAAATGTTAGATAATTTTATTTACTTTTGGAAAATGTAAATATATTTATATGCCACATTACTAATTTTTCGAGATAATCCATAAAATATAAAGTCGTATCAATTTTAGTTCTTATAAAATTAAGACCAACTTTGACAGTCTGTACTTTTGTTATTTTTGAACCAATTTTAAATATTAATTTATTAAATGTTAGATAATTTTATTTACTTTTGGAAAATGAAAATATATTTATATGCCACATTACTAATTTTTCGAGATAATCCACAAAATATAAAGTCGTATCAATTTTAGTTCTTATAAAATTAAGACCAACTTTGACAGTCTGTACTTTTGTTATTTTTGAACCAATTTTAAATATTAATATATCAAATGTTAGATAATTTCATTTACTTTTGGAAAATGTAAATATATTTATATGCCACATTACTAATTTTTCGAGATAATCCACAAAATATAAAGTCGTATCAATTTTAGTTCTTATAAAATTAAGACCAACTTTGACAGTCTGTACTTTTGTTATTTTTGAACCAATTTTAAATATTAATATATCAAATGTTAGATAATTTCATTTACTTTTGGAAAATGTAAATATATTTATATGCCACATTACTAATTTTTCGAGATAATCCATAAAATATAAAGTCGTATCAATTTTAGTTCTTATAAAATTAAGACCAACTTTGACAGTCTGTAGGTTTGTTATTTGTTACGCAATTTTAAAAAATAAAATATCAAATGTTATATAATTTTATTTACTTTTTAAAAATGTAAGTATATTTATATGCCACATTACTAATTTTTCGAGATAATCCACAAAATATAAAGTCGTATCAATTTTAGTTCTTATAAAATTAAGACCAACTTTGACAGTGTGTACTTTTGATATTTTTGAACCAATTTTAAATATTTATATATCAAATGTTATATAATTTTATTTACTTTTGGAAAATGTAAATATATTTATAGGCAACATTACTAATTTTTCGAGATAATCCACAAAATATAAAGTCGTATCAATTTTAGTTCTTATAAAATTAAGACCAACTTTGACAGTCTGCACTTTTGTTATTTTTGAACCAATTTTAAATGTTAATATATCAAATGTTAGATAATTTTATTTACTTTTGGAAAATGTAAATATATTTATATGCCACATTACTAATTTTTCGAGATAATCCATAAAATATAAAGTCGTATCAATTTTAGTTCTTATAAAATTAAGACCAACTTTGACAGTCTGTACTTTTGTTATTTTTGAACCAATTTTAAATATTAATATATCAAATGTTAGATAATTTCATTTACTTTTGGAAAATGAAAATATATTTATATGCCACATTACTAATTTTTCGAGATAATCCACAAAATATAAAGTCGTATCAATTTTAGTTCTTATAAAATTAAGACCAACTTTGACAGTCTGTACTTTTGTTATTTTTGAACCAATTTTAAGTATTAATATATCCAATGTTAGATAATTTTATTTACATTTGGAAAATGTAAATATAATTATATGCCACATTAATAATTTTTCGAGATAATCCATAAAATATAAAGTCGTATCAATTTTAGTTCTTATAAAATTAAGACCAACTTTGACAGTCTGTACTTTTGTTATTTTTGAACCAATTTTAAATATTAATATATTAAATGTTAGATAATTTCATTTACTTTTGGAAAATGTAAATATATTTATACGCCACATTACAAATTTTTCGAGATAATCCATAAAATATAAAGTCGTATCAATTTTAGTTCTTATAAAATTAAGACCAACTTTGACAGTCTGTAGGTTTGTTATTTGTTACGCAATTTTAAAAATTAATATATGAAATGTTAGATAATTTCATTTACTTTTGGAAAATGTAAATATATTTATATGCCACATTACAAATTTTTAGAGATAATCCACAAAATATATAATTATATCAAATGTCACTTTTTTATAGGCAATTTTTTTTTTGTACAGGCTCGCTTTCAGCAGAAACAAATGCAAGAAAAAGAAGAAAAACTTCTTCGTCTGTACGAGAACCAACAGCAACGGGCGTTCGATCGTGTGGGGCGTGGTAGCGCCGGTAGCAATACAAGCGTTGGATCAACAGGTACTAAAGATTGAAAACTTTTTAACTTGAAATTTCTTTTCTATTAATTTATTTAAGGGGGTGGCAAAGTGCGGCAAATGTTTGACGAACGAAGGCAAAAAGCAGGCGTTGACAGAAGTTATCCGTTAGAACCTTTAAAAAGTACCAGAACGAATGGCGTACCATCGACAAGAAACTCGACATCAAGAACTGTTGTGAGGTCTACGGTTTCAAAAAGTGTTGGCAATATAAGGAACGGAAAACCCAGTGGAAAAACCGAGGTGGTCCAGAGAATCTACAACAATAACAATGGGGATGAAAGCTACGAAGAGCACAGGTTAGAAGAAGAAAAAATGCGATTTAAATAAGCTTCTGTTGATTGTATTTTTAGGTTTGAAGACGACAACTACAGAAGCCCAAGCTTCGACTTGATAGAATTGATGAACCGAAGTAACATCCATGACGATTTGGACAACGAAATTTTGCCCCAAATCGGCTTTGATGATGTCGATGAACCGGTAGCAATTCCACCAAAACCTTTCAGAGGAAAATTGTCGAACGTTGGAGGAAAATTGCCGAGTCAAAGTGTTCAAACGCAACGAGTACTCGAAGCTAAACCAGCTGCCTTGAGATCTAGCAACGGTGTTGCTAGGAAACAGGCCCCGCCGGTAAGTGATTTTTTTTATTTTTTTTTGCGATTTTATTAAAAATCATTCAATTTTGCTGAGCAGTTGTCAATCACCCAAAACATTAATTTTAATGTGCAGTTTTCAACTACCCGGTTTTAAATAAATTAAAAATAGGTTTAATTTTTTTCTTTATTGTGATTTTTGTATCAGTGCAGTTTTCAATTACCCAATCTTGTTGTAGCAGTTGTTCATTACCCAAAACATACATTTTAATGTGGGCAGTTTTGTTTTTTATTTGTATTTTTTTTACGAATTAGTACAGTTTTCAATATTTATCATGCAATTTTGTTTGAGCAGTTTTCAATTACCCCAAATATAAATTTGATGTGCATTTTTTAATTAACCGGTTTTGAATAAATAAATTTAATTTGTTTTTTTCTTTGTGATTTTTAATTTATATTTTTGAAGGATCCGTGCAGTTTTCAATTATTCAATTTTGTTTGAGCAGTTGTCCATTACCCAAAACATGAAGTTTAATGTGGGCAGTTTTGTTTTTTTATTTATATTTATTGTATATTTTTACGAATTGCTACAGTTTTTAATATTTATTATGCAATTTTGTTTGAGCAGTTTTCAATTACCCCAAACAAATTTTTATGTGCAGTTTTTAATTAACCGGTTTTAAATAAATTAATTTAATTTGTTTTTTTTCTTTGTGGTTTTATGTTTATATTTTTTGAAGTACAGTGCAGTTTTCAATTATTCAATTTATTTGAGTAGTTGTCCATTACCCAAAACATAAAGTTTAATGTGGGCAGTGTTGTTTTTTTATTAATATTTTTTTTACGAATTGGTACCGTTTTTTATATTTATTATGCAATTTCTTTTGAGCAGTTTTCAATTACCCTACAATTAATTTTGATGTGCAGTTTTTAATTAACCGGTTTTGAATAAATAAATTTAATTTATTTTTTTTCTTTGTGATTTTTTATTTATATTTTGCAGTTTTTAATTATTCAATTTTGTTTGAGCAGTTATCCATTACCCAAAACATAAATTTTAATGTGGGCAGTTTTGTTTTTTTATTTATATTTTTTGTATTTATTTTACAATTTTCAATATTTATTTTACAATTTTCAATATTTATTTTGCAATTTTGTTTGAGCAGTTTTCAATTACCCCAAACATACATTTTATGTGCAGTTTTTAATTAACCGGTTTTTAATAATTAAATTTAATTTGTTTTTTTCTTTGTGATTTTTTATTTATATTTTTTGAAGTATCAGTGCAGTTTTGAATTATTTAAATTTGTTTGAGCAGTTGTCCATTACCCAAAACATACATTTTAATGTGGGGAGTTTTGTTTTTGTATTTTTTTACGAATTAGTACAGTTTTTAATAATTATTATCCAATTTGGTTTGAGCAGTTGTCAATTACCCTAAACATAAATTTTGATGTGCAGTTTTTAATTAACCGGTTTTGAATAAATAAATTTAATTTGTTTTTTTTTCTTTAAGATTTTTTATTTATGTTTTAGAGCAGCAAAATGAATGTCTTGGAGTTTTAGGAAATAGTATTATCTTCTTTTTATAACAGTTTTATTTCTCGTAAGTTACATAAACCAAAATCGTGTATATGTTTTTTATATGTATAATAATAATAATAAATAATGGTTCCCTAGGAACAGGGTTCCATAGAGATTACATATATTTATTCAATAAGCATATATACTACTTGAGTAACTCAATCTCGAACATACTCCCCCGCAATTGCGAAGTCAATTAATACAAAAGATAAACAAGAACGCTCAGCAATAACAGGGCTAGTATTTAGAATTTATAAGATTAATCAGTACAGTAAAATTTTATTTAATATTATTAATAGGTAACTTAACTAATTTAACAATTGGACGCTGAAACTCTGAATTTGCAGTTTTAATAGTAACAGCGCGAACCAACCCATCAGCACCAGGATGAGTACTGATAATACGACCCAATTCCCACTTATTTGGAGGCAGATGTTCATTTCTTACTAAAACAAGATCGCCTTTCATTAAATTAGGTTGAGTACTAAACCACTTTGAACGCGTTTGCAATTCGAAAAGATATTCTCTTTGCCATTTACGCCAAAAGTTTTCCACAACCTTATGATAAAATTGCCAGCGAGTAAGTCTGTTATCAGTTAAATCTAATACAGAAGGAGTGGGAATCGACTTAACCCCTTCAGACCTGGTGTACATTCAGATGTACATTAGCTTTTTAGTAATTTATTTACCATCAATAGGCATTAAATTTCATTTAGAACCTAGTTTTCACCCCCAAGTACATTTGTTTTGGTAAACTAAGGTACATTTTGCGACTTCTCTTACTTAAACTGCCCCTTTTGATTGAAAATTCTCTCATATAATGGAGATGCGCATAATGACAGCAACAACTCGTTGACGACAGTTTGTCTTAGCGGGTCTTTAGATCATTTGTAAAGATATTTTTTAAGTATAAACTGGTGTAGTTTGTTTCTAAAGGTATGTACTAAGACATGTAAAAACTATTTTGGTATTATCCACACCTAAACCGTATAAAACATTCGATGTACATGCATGTGAACATCCTGAAATTATCCTGAAATTTCACAATTAAGATTTTTTAGCATCAAATATGTGTTATTTAGATCCTAATTCGATAGATTTAAGAGCCATTTATTTTTTTTTATCGTCGTAAAATAATTCAGGTCTGAAGGGGTTAAGAGCACATCCTACCAAAAAGTGTCCTGGTGTAAGAGCATCATAACTTTCTTTGTCATCATATAAAGGAGCTATAGGCCGAGAATTTAAAAGACCTTGAATTTCACTTAATAAAGTCCGAAATTCGTCTGCACTAGGTGTAACATTTGCAAGTTGAGGTTTAAGATATTTTTTTACACTTTTTACTCCAGCTTCCCATAAACCTCCGAAGTGAGGAGCAGAAGGAGGCAGAAAGTGCCAAGTTATTCGATCTTGAGCAAAACTATTATGGAGTTCAGGGTCAGATTGTAACTGAGTTAAATATGATCTTAACTCTCGATCTGCTCCCTTGAAAGTAGTGGCATTATCGCTATAAAGATCACTTGGCATTCCAAATTGATTAGAAAATCTTCTAAATACATTTATAAAAGCTTTAGTAGAACAATCGTTTACATAATCTATATAAACTGCTTTAACTGAAAAACAAACAAACACAACAACCCATACTTTATGGGATTTAGTACCACGACCAATACCATTAAGTATGGAAAATGGACCAGCATAGTCAACTCCAGTATGTGAGAAAATACGGGAAGGCTCCACCCTAGATTGTGGCAGATCCCCCATTAATTGACACATGGTTTTTGCATTATACTTTACACAGGTGGTACAATTCTTAATTATAGTTTTAGTAATAGAACGTGCATTAATAATCCAAAACTTACATCGAACCATGTATAAAGTAAGTTTAACACCAGAATGAATTAGATTCTTATGAAATTGTCTTATAATAATGCAAGAAAATTCCCCAGGTGGAAGAATAGCTGGCATTATTGGATGCGACTTTCCTAACCTACCACCAAGTCTTAAAATACCCTTTTTATCCAAAAATGGTGTAAGTGGAAACAACTTGGATGATGGAGCTACAGTTTTTGAAGAATTCAAAGCCTTTATTTCCTCAGGAAAAGACTTTTTCTGCACATATTTAACAATTAAATCCGAAGAATTCTCTAAATCCTGAGCTGTTAGAAAATTAGAACTATAAGACTTTTTTCTCATAACGGAAACAGCCCTTAATATTATGGAAACTACTCTAAGAATCCTTGCCCACGAAGAAATTTTGGAAATCAATACTGAAATAAAATGATCTTCAGCTTGGCAGGAAATGAGACTTGCAACTTGAAATGAACGTTTGTCCAAATCAGTAAAATGTTCAAAATTCTCTTGAATAGGCCATAAATCTGGTTTTTTAGACAACCAACTAGGACCATTCCACCAAAGCAGAGATGTAACTAACTTTTGTGTATCAACACCACGAGAAGCGAGGTCTGCAGGATTTTGAGAAGTAGGAACATGTTTCCAGATGGCTTTTGGTAAAGAATCCTGTATCTGAGAAACTCTATTTGCAACAAAAACTTTCCAAGTATAAGAAGGATGTTGTAGCCAACTCAAAACAATAGAAGAATCAGTCCAACAAAATATAGGAACAGAATCGATTTTTAAAGCTGATATAATATAACAAAGTAAATCAGAAAGAAGAGTTGCAGCGCAAAGCTCTAACCGAGGAACACTAACAGTTTTAAGAGGAGCAACTCGAGTTTTTGAGATAAGTAAAGAATTTATTATCTTAGAATTATTTCTACTCTTAAATAGACAACTGCTCCATAGGCAGCCATTGAAGCATCGCAAAACCCGTGTAGTTGACATGAGCTTTGTTTTGAATTAAATGTCCATCTTGGTATAGTAATATCAGATGTGGAAATAAGACTATTATGGAGAATTAGCCATTGTTTTTGTATATGAGGGGGAAGAGGATCATCCCAACCAATCTTAAGAATCCAAAGACTTTGTAATAAGATTTTAGCTTTAATGGTAATAGGTGAAATCCATCCCAAAGGATCATATAGTTTAGATACGGTAGACAACAATTGACGCTTTGTTGTGCAATCAGCTTCAAGTTTAACATGATATTGAAAACGATCCTTTGAGGGATTCCACTGTATTCCCAAAACACGAAGAATAGTACTATCAATAAATGGAATGTCAATAGCCAACTTATATTCTTCAGAGCCGAGATCTTGTATCAACTCTGGAACATTTGACGCCCACTTTCTCAATGGCAGGTGAGCTGACTCAGTAAGCTTAATAACTTCATCTCTTAATTTACGAGTCTCAATTATATCATCCCCTCCGAAGAAAACGTCATCAACATAGACGTTATCTTCTAAACATTTAGATGCATTTGGAAATCTAATTCTTTCATCTTGACAAAGCTGTTTAATAACACGATTAGCTTGAAAAGGAGAAGAACGAAGACCATAAGTGATAGTATTAAGTTCATAGATCTGAAGAGGTTCAAATTGAGAAAAACGCCATAAAATACATTGAAAATGTCTATCTTCAGGAGCAATACTGATTTGTCGAAACATTTTCTCCACATCGCTGGTAAGAACATAACGATGTTGTCTCCAGCGAGTTATAATAGCTACTATATCTTTTTGCAAAGCTACTCCAGTATGAAGACAATCATTTATTGAACAATTATTTGAAGTTTTAGCGGAGCCATTAAATACCACTCTTAACTTGGTAGTAAGACTATCCTGACGAATAACTGGATGATGAGGAAGAAAGTTTTGATCTTTAAAATGTGAATTTAATGGTCCAATAAGACTCATATGTGAAAGTGACAAATATTCTTTCATAAATGCAGAATATTGCTCAAATAAATCACGAGTTCTATTTAATTTCTTTTCTATAGAACAGAAAGTACGAAAAGCTACTTCTTTTGAGCCACCTAGAATTGGCGCATCAGAAAGAAAAGGAAGCTTTAACTGATAAGCCCCATTAGGAAGTCTAATATAAGTATTTTGAAAGTGGTCTTCACATTCACGCTCAAATTTGGAAAGATTTGAACAGGACGGAACTTGTTCTATTTCCCAGAATTGCCTCAAAGTTAAGTCCAACGATTCTTCAACTGAAGCATGATGAACATTAATAGTATTAAATGAAGAAATATTTACAGTTAAAGGTCCTGTTAAAACCCACCCAAAAATTGAAAATTGTGCATGTAAAGCACTAGAATTGGATCTTAAAAAACCATCGCGTAAAAACAACCCATAAACATCTGCGCCTAACAGCAAATCTATTCTTCCTTCTTTTTCAAAATGCGGGTCAGCAAATTCAAGATTTTGCCAATCGGATGGAAGATCTGACTTAAGAATCTCAGGCGGTCGATAAGTGGTAACACGAGGAAGAACATACGCATGAACATTAATTGGTTTGGAACTAGAATTAACCGAATTAATCATAAAATTAACAGAAGACAGCACATTTCCAGTTGTTGTGCCATTTACTCCAGTTATTGTAGCTGAAGTTCGGTTCTTTGGCAACATTAACACTTGTGTTAAATGTTCTGAAATAATGCTACATTCAGAACATTGGTCAAGAATTGCTCTGGCCAAAGTTTTCCGCCCTGACGGAGCTTGAACCAGTACATAAGCAGTAGCCAAAACAATGGAAGAACTTCGTTTGTTTGAAGATAAATGTACATTAAGATTTTCTGGAAATTCTGAAATTTTACTAGTGTGAACTTGATTATCTAGAGAATCTTTATGTAGCAATGAATTATGCCGTTGATGACAAACAAAACAATTATGTTTAGATCTACATTTAGACAATTCATGTTTACCTAGACAATTTAAACACAGATTGTATTTTGACTTGGTAACAAATGTTAATCGTTTAGAAACCGAGAGTGCTTTAAACTCCTGACAATATAAAATAAAATGATTTCCTTGACAATAATCGCAAGATGAAGATTTATTAGAAAGTGTGAAAGTTGGCTTTTGGTTTGAAATAATTTTGGAAGATTGTAAATTTTGATGGACATGGATTGGTTTTGTGTTTTTATAACCAGTTTTTATAATTGATTTTTTAGACACTTCCAAACACCGAATTCTGGTATCAATAAACTTTATTATTTCAACATATGTAGGTAACTCATTTTGTTCACTAACCTTTAATTCCCACTTTTCTCTAGAAATTTTATCAAGTTTTAGGTTGATTAAGCAGACCAATAAATCGTCCCAATGTTCAACTGGTCTTTTTAGGTTTTTTAAAGCATTAACAGCTGACAAAATAACATCACGAAACTTTTTTAAATTATTACAAAAATCATTAACAATTTCAGGAAATTCAATAATAGACAAAATTAACGAATGGACTAATTGAATCGTATTATCGTACCTATCCCTTAAAATTTCCCAAATTGGTTGAAAATCAACGGTATTAACTGCAGTTTGAGAGAGTATCAGAGCTTCATCGGTTAAACTAGCATGTAAATAATGTAATCGCTCAACATCTGAAAGTTGATGATTGTCAATTACCAAAGAAGTAAATAAATTTCGAAAATTTAACCAAGAGTCTTGATTACCGTTAAATTTTGGAAGAATGATTTGAGGAAGCTTTATATTTTTCCTAACCCTGTCATTAACTGAGCCCTCCTGTTTATCAATTGAATCAATATTAGCTAGCAATTCAAAGACTGAGTTAATAAGTAGAACATACGTGTCTAGAGCCGCATAATATTCTTCAGGATTGTAGAGTTCCAAATCTCCAGTTCCTTGACCTGGTTTGAGTGCGATGATTATCATATGCTCCTCTCTAATATTCTTCTCCAAGTTCTCCAATTTTCCTAGATTCCATTGTAACATTTCTTTATTTACATTTTCGCAGGCATTTAAACGTTGTTTCCAGCTGTGAAGTTCCAAAAAATAACTCTTAATTCTAATAAGATGCTCGGAATACTCCATTGTTTTGGTTTTCATATCCAAAATATATTATATATCAATTGTCACCACTGACAGAAGCAATTTAAAAAAATATTAAATTATTATTTATAACACTAGCACGATAAGAGAATCTTGATCCAAATCTACGGCGCAACCGTATTGTGTCAGGAACAAATTCCAAATTTCAGCAAAATTTTATCTGGCACGATAAATGCTCCAAATCTACGGCGCAACCGTATTGTGTCAGGAACAAATTCCAAATAAATTTCACTTTAAAGATTTTCCTAATATACTCCAAACTACAGGATTCGAAGGACCATGTTTTAGAGCAGCAAAATGAATGTCTTGGAGTTTTAGGAAATAGTATTATCTTCTTTTTATAACAGTTTTATTTCTCGTAAGTTACATAAACCAAAATCGTGTATATGTTTTTTATATGTATAATAATAATAATAAATAATGGTTCCCTAGGAACAGGGTTCCATAGAGATTACATATATTTATTCAATAAGCATATATACTACTTGAGTAACTCAATCTCGAACAATTTATATTTTTTGAAGTATAAGTGCAGTTTTCAATTATTTAATTTTGTTTGAGCAGTTGTCCATTACCCAAAACATAAATTTTAATGTGGGTAGTTTTGTTTTTTTATTTTTTTTTGACGAATTAGTACAGTTTTCAATAATTATTATCCAATATTGTCTGAGCAGTTGACAATTACCCTAAACATAAATTTTGATGTGCAGTTTTTAATTAACCGGTTTTGAATAAATAAATTTAATTTGTTTTTTTTTATTTATATTTTTTGAAGTATCAGTGCAGTTTTCAATTATTCAATTTTGTTTGTTATTTATATTTTTTGTATTTTTTTTACGAATTAGTACAGTTTTCAATCATTATTATCCAATTTTATCTGAGCAGTTGACAATTACCCCAAACATAAATTTGATGTGCAGTTTTTAATTAACCGGTTTGGAATAAATAAATTTAATTTGTTTTTTTTTTATTTAAAATTTTTTAAGTATCATTTTCAATTGTTTAATTTTTGTTTAAGCAGTTGTCAATTAGGTACCCAAAACATTAATTTTATTGTGTAGTTTTTAATTACCTACTCAAAACATAAATTTATTGTGCATTTTTAGTTGCCTGGTTTTAAATAAATTAATTAAGGGCAGTTTTCAATTATCTACTTTTTTAAATTCCTTTTTTTACTTTTATATAAAAAATATATAAAACATCATGAAAAAAAATAATAAAATTCAGAAGTAAAAAAAAAACTGTACTTCACTGCTTTTAAGGTTGACAACATCCCGACAGTTGAAGTCAAAATTTTGGTGATTTTGCCAAAAGTCAATTAAAATTTTTTCCCCTTTACATCCTTTGGTATCTCAAACATCACCCAGAATTTCAACTTCACTGATTCCTATTCACTTTCAGGCTTCCGTTAAAAAAACCGCAAGAACAACACCGGCAACAACAGCAACGAAAACTCCACCTACAAGATCACCAAGCAAAACACAAGCGAGAAGCAGCATGTCCCAACCAGTTCCCAACACCGCCAGGCCGTCGGCCAAGCAGCCCCCAAAACAGAACCCCTCAACTAGAGACGACCTGGCCGAGTGCAAAATATGCCACAGAAGGTGATTTTGTTCAGGTCGATATTTTAGGCGCCGTAACTAATGTCGTTGTGTTTTAGGTTCGCCGAGGATAGACTGGCTGTGCACGAAAACATTTGTTTGAAATCGGCGCAAAGTAAAAGGAAAAAGTACGATGCCACTAAACATAGGTTGCAAGGCACAGATTTGGAGCAGTATGGTAGGAAGATTTTGAAGGGTAGCAATAAGGTGAGTTTTACATAATTATTTCATACACTTTGGGGATATCATGGTACAAGAAAACAAGGTATGTTCTTACCAAATAAAATATATGAATATCTTGTTTTAAAGCAAATATAAAGAATGAAATCAAGTGTCAAGTTACAACATTAACATTGCAAAAAAAATGTAAATAACATATTTTTCTAAATTTATTTATTACAAAATTGTATTCACAAATAATTGCAATTTAGGTTTAGTCGATCCAACATTGAAAAAAACAAACTAAACTTGTGAGAAATATTATATTATGGTATGGTAAAAGCTGGTTTTCTAATGCTTTTGGGATGTTTCAATCCAGGGCCATTTCATTATCAGCAGCATGCTGTAGTTTGAGTTTCTATTATGGACTGTCCTTGAAGATCATTAGATTCCTTGTCTTGGCACATTTTCTGCACATTGCAAAACTTAATTTTGTTAAAATTTTATTTTTATTTCTTACACTGCAGTACTTAATTTTTTAGAGTGTCTTGTACACCCCAAGCAGCATTTTAAGTTTAAATAACTACAAATTTACTACCAAGTCAACTTTAAAGTATTTTTTACGGTTAACCAAAACAGTTTTATAACGGTATAGATACGAAAAATTACCAAATTTGGGGAATGGTTTATTTCGTTATTTTACCTACATAATAACCTTTTTGATCTACTAAGAGAATAACGTAATAAAAACAATATAAATACCACAAATTTACGTAAAAATATCGCTATAATTACCAACTGTTTGCTCTCTCTTTCTAAAACATTGACATTCGTAATTGCTTTGTTCTTTTAATTCATATTTTACAAAATGGTACTTACAAAGTAATAAAGGCCACCCTAGAGTAAAATTAAAAAATATAACTTAAATTGTCAAAACTAATAATATTTTGCATTAAAACTCAAAGGCACATTATTTTATTGATAAAAATGGGGACGATACATCTTAAAAATTATATGCCCTCTAAATATTTTGCGGTTTTACGGTTATTTTGGAAAAATATTTATGAAAAAATATTAGGTATATAAATGTTTAGATAAGTAATGGATGCCATCTTAAAAACTCATTATGGCGAGCTGAAAAAAAAAATCCCTTAAAGTTTTATTTTTCACTTTAAGCTTATTTTTCCTTGTTTAGTCAATAGTAATAGTATTTATTACCATTATGACTTATGATTACCATTTACCATTCAGTAAAAATTCTGACGTTCTGAAATTACCGTTAAAATTTCCTTTAGGTGAAATACACTTAAAACGTAAAAATTACGTCCCTCATATTAAAATAAGTAAAAATAACATAAATAAAACTAACTTTAAAAAAAGTTTTACTTTAAAGTAAATTTGAACAAAATATTTACTTAAATTAAGTAATATTAATAATATTAATTAATATTTACTTAAAATGCTGCTTATCATACAGTACTGTAAAAAGAACCATATGGTTCATATGATTTATATTGTTTTTTTAATTTTGCATTAATTTCTTACAAAGTACTTGATTTCTCTTTTGATTGATCAACAACTGTTAAGTATAAGTTGGAACCGTATCCACTTTTAACGACTTTGGATTTAAAGGTTTTTTTCTTTTGTCATTGTTTTTACAGATTTTCACTTGTTAGGTAGACATTTTATACACTTAAAAAACTTTAAAATAGCTTAAAAAACGACTCGCATTAAAATGTAAATAGTGGTAATGGCGGCGACTGGGTGCTCCCACCTCTTCCCCAATCTGATGGAGTGGGGGAAACACCAAGAACCACAATCCACACAACAAGGTCTGTTCGATCTTAAGATATAAATAAATTTATTCGCGCATGTTAAAACTCGCGAAATTAGGCAACCTAGTATACATTCATACGTTAGTCGCCATTTTCATTGTTTATAATCTGTGATTTCGTTGTTTGCAATTATTGTGCTGTTTTTATGTGGATTTGTAATAGTTGTCAAATAATAATATTATGTCTAAAACTTTTATTTTTATTAAGAACCAGATACAACTATTTTTATTCCTAAAAATACATTATTGATGTCAATAATTAATAATTATTTCTAAAATTCATTGATTAAAAAACTTTTGCCAAATTTCATTTTACTTTAAAACTAAATATAACTATTTTTATTTCCCAAATAATAGTTTATAAAAAATTGTATCCTTTTGTCAAATCTTATACTGTTAAAAAACATTTGCAGTTTAAAATAATTATTTAAAACTTAAACAAAACTTTGTTTACTTCTTCCATGCCTGTTTTATACAGAATTACTATTTTGGGTAATTTAAATTAACGGCGGCAAATAAATCAAATATGATTGTGCCAAGGACATACAATGTTTGTTATGTTGCAGGCACCCGCAAAACAATCGAGTGCGTCTAAAAAAGACTGGCGCAAGGCGCACGAAGAATTCATCGCGGCCATCCGGTCGGCGAAACAAACGCAAGCGCATCTGGCGAAGGGGGGGAAGCTGAGCGACCTGCCCCCTCCGCCCCCCTCCTCCAACCCGGACTACGTGCAGTGCCCCCACTGCGGCCGCAGGTTCAACGAATCGGCGGCCGAGAGGCACATCCCCAAGTGCGCCAACTACCAATACAACAAACCCAATGCCCCTGCTGCCAAGCCCAAGCCGCCTGCCAGAAGATAAAGTTACAACTCTTTTTTTTTTACCTCTATAACTATAAAAATAATATAGCTTTAAAAAATTTAATGCTATGTTAACAAATCATAAAAATGTTATTTGGGCTATTTTGGTTCACCATGTATACAGGGTGTTTTGGCGGTACTCACCCTTATAAAGTTAATTAATCTTTTAAAAATTATAAGTGCCAATTTTTGCAAAATTACAAGCATTCATAGAAAATATATTTAATAACCAAAAATTTAAATGTAAACTATATATAATGCTATATTAATAAAATTATAAACTTTTTGTGATTTTTATTACTATTAATTCAATTATGTGCTGTTATGTATTTTTTTATTAACCACCTTAAATTTAGTCATTTTAGTCCTTAGGCTTTTTGTTCCTTAAAAAATTGATTACTTATCACTATTATTTATAGAATACAAAAACTATTAATAAAAATGCTTTTTTCAATAGACACCTTGTTTTATTTTTATACATTAAAATTCCCTGATTCATCCAAATCAACCCTTTTCCTTTTCTTGTGGTTGACTACCATATTAGCAGCCTCCATTGTGGACGATGTTACCCATAACCAATCGTTAAGTTTACCTTTAGCCTTGTGGCCATCTTCAAAAATCCTTCTTTCCAAAAAATCCAACTTCTGCTGAACTGTCGGATCAGAGATGGAGTTGTCAGCTAAATCCATAATGTGCCGAAAGCGGGTTTTAAATGTCTACAAGATATGATTAATAGGTTAAGATTAAAAACAAAACACCTCTTACGTGCAGCAGGACGTCTTGCACCTCTCCCTTGGCATCAAAACTCTTGGCGTAAGAGCCCAACTCGTAAAAATACAAATTAAATTTGTGTAAATCCACCGCTGAAGCGTCAGCTTTGAGTATCTCTCGATACGCTTCCCTGTATATTTTGGGAAGATCGGGATTGACTATGGGCTGTCTTCCTGCAGCCATTTCCGTTACCAGCCACATTGGCAGCTCCAGATCTGTTCCCGCTTTTAAGTCTACTTCTTCTGCTGACGGATTTAAAACACCTGTCGAACGATAAGTTAGATCAGATTGATGAGGTGTTAAGAATGTATTTTACCCATTTTTGGAACGTTGACAGCAAATTTGCATGGTGCTCTCTCTTGCGTCGCCAAAATGTCGTCCAACGAAAAATAATTTGGCGAATAGGCGGCCGGTAGAGGCATTTTAATGCAATTCAAACCGTTTTGAATTCAAATTAGTAACATAACCTCAATAATGTTCATTTGAACTACTACCAGAGATAGACTACTACTTATATATTTTGCAGATTTGTTTGTAAATAATATTAGTATTTTTTATCAACGATAAGAAAAAGAATACACATATTATATGTGTTTAAAATATAATTTATAATATATCGTCCCCGTTCTGGCAAAAGTCATTAACTCCATTTTTGTCTAAAAGAAGTTGACTACCTTCGCGATCATAGAACAATTATATCTGTGGTCTAGAAAAACTTATTAAGTGCAGTATTGTATTTTTGCATGCTACAAATACAATACTGCACTTAATAAGTTCTTCCAGACCACAGATATAATTGTTCTATGATCGCGAAGGTAGTCAACTACTTTTAGACAAAAATGGAGTTAATTACTTTTGCCAGAACGGGGACGATATATACTTTGATAACATCATCGAAATAAATAAGCTAGTTGTAACAGCGGTTGCATAGAAATAAATCACATTCAGGGAGGTTATTTTGTTATTGCCTTCCATTGTTTAAAACTTGGAGGGAAAAACTAATTTCGTTCTTCCATTTTTTTAAATTTATCTCAATGTGCGAATTTGTCCTTTTGCTTTTTAAATTTACCCCAATGTGCGAATTTTTCCAACCATATATTAAATTTGTCCCACTGTGCGAATTTTTCCTTTCGTTTTTAAAATTTTTCCCACTGTGCGAATTTTTCCATCCATTTTTTTAAATTTTTCCCACTGTGCGAATTTGTCCTTTCGTTTTTTAAATTTGACCCAATGTGCGAATTTGTCCTCCTGTTTTTAAAATTTATCCCACTGTGCAAATTTTTCCATCCATTTTTTAAATTTACCCCAATGTGCGAATTTGTCCTCCTATTTTTTAAATTTTGCCCACTGTGCGAATTTGCACATTGGGACAAATTTAAAAAATGGTTGGAAAAATTCGCACATTGGGGTAAATTTAAAAACCGAAAGGACAAATTCGCACCGTGGGATAAATTTAAAAAATAGGAGGACAAATTCGCACATTGGGGTAAATTTAAAAAATGGATGGAAAAATTTGCACAGTGGGATAAATTTAAAAATTAGGAGGACAAATTCGCACAGTGGGATGAATTTAAAAATTAGGAGGACAAATTTGCACAGTGGGATAAATTTAAAAATTAGGAGGACAAATTTGCACAGTGGGATAAATTTAAAAATTAGGAGGACAAATTCGCACAGTGGGATGAATTTAAAAATTAGGACAAATTTGCACAGTGGGATAAATTTAAAAATTAGGACAAATTTGCACAGTGGGATAAATTTAAAAATTAGGAGGACAAATTTACACAGTGGGATAAATTTAAAATTTAGTAGGAAAATTTTGCAGTGGGATAAATTTAAAATTTAGGAGGACAAATTTGCACAGTGGGATAAATTTAAAATTTAGGAGGAGAAATTCGCACAGTGGGATAAATTTAAAATTTAGGAGGACAAATTTGCACAGTGGGATAAATTTAAAATTTAGGAGGACAAATTCGCACAGTGGGGAAAAACATTTTTGAACCAAATATACATCTTATCTTTGTTTTTGTGTAGGTATTGTATGGCAAAAAACAATTAAATTAGGCGTGGTTTAAAAATTATGTCATGCAGTGTAGGACATTTGAACTACTCGATGTCATGTACACTGAGTGACAATATTTTTGAATTTTTTAAAAATTTAGTTTTCATGTTTTCTGTAAATTTAACGTTTGGCTACCGGATAACAGATGGCGCTGTTCAAAGGACAAATTCGCACAGTGGGATAAATTTAAAATTTAGGAGGACAAATTCGCATAGTGGGATAAATTTAAAATTTAGGAGGACAAATTTGCACAGTGGGATAAATTTAAAATTTAGGAGGACAAATTTGCACAGTGGGATAAATTTAAAATTTAGGAGGACAAATTCGCACAGTGGGGAAAAACATTTTTGAACCAGTATCAGTATTATGAATGCCCACTCATATGTTAGGTGAAGTTACAGTCAAGTGGGTGGAGGCAATACAAACAAAACTCCCCATGTGCATAGGGGGGGCCATATTCGGGGCAGGAAGATTAAAACCCAAGCACAGGAAATTATACACTGAAAAATATCTGCCCTGGGCTATACAGACTGGTAAAAATATGGATTTCCTACTAAATATTTATTTTGAGAAAAAGTGGGAGCAAAATGTGCAAAAATTGTGTCAAGAAATTAACATGGTGCCTTTAAAATTAGAGGAATAGAGTGTATTTATTGAAATATATGTTATATTTATTGAAAATGTGTTTTTTTTTGTTGTTAATGTGACAAATATACATCTTAGCTTTGTTTTTGTGTAGGTATTGTATGGCAAAAAACAATTAAATTAGGCGTGGTTTAAAAATTATGTCATGCAGTGTAGGACATTTGAACTACTCGATGTCATGTACACTGAGTGACAATATTTTTGAATTTTTTAAAAATTTAGTTTTCATGTTTTCTGTAAATTTAACGTTTGGCTACCGGATAACAGATGGCGCTGTTCAAAGGACAAATTCGCACAGTGGGATAAATTTAAAATTTAGGAGGACAAATTTGCACAGTGGGATAAATTTAAAATTTAGGAGGACAAATTCGCACAGTGGGGAAAAACATTTTTGAACCAGTATCAGTATTATGAATGCCCACTCATATGTTAGGTGAAGTTACAGTCAAGTGGGTGGAGGCAATACAAACAAAACTCCCCATGTGCATAGGGGGGGCCATATTCGGGGCAGGAAGATTAAAACCCAAGCACAGGAAATTATACACTGAAAAATATCTGCCCTGGGCTATACAGACTGGTAAAAATATGGATTTCCTACTAAATATTTATTTTGAGAAAAAGTGGGAGCAAAATGTGCAAAAATTGTGTCAAGAAATTAACATGGTGCCTTTAAAATTAGAGGAATAGAGTGTATTTATTGAAATATATGTTATATTTATTGAAAATGTGTTTTTTTTGTTGTTAATGTGACAAATATACATCTTAGCTTTGTTTTTGTGTAGGTATTGTATGGCAAAAAACAATTAAATTAGGCGTGGTTTAAAAATTATGTCATGCAGTGTAGGACATTTGAACTACTCGATGTCATGTACACTGAGTGACAATATTTTTGAATTTTTTAAAAATTTAGTTTTCATGTTTTCTGTAAATTTAACGTTTGGCTACCGGATAACAGATGGCGCTGTTCAAAGGACAAATTCGCACAGTGGGATAAATTTAAAATTTAGGAGGACAAATTCGCACAGTGTTATAAATTTAAAATTTAGGAGGACAAATTCGCACAGTGGGATAAATTTAAAATTTAGGAGGACAAATTCGCACAGTGGGATAAATTTAAAATTTAGGAGGACAAATTTGCACAGTGGGATAAATTTAAAATTTAGGAGGACAAATTCGCACAGTGGGATAAATTTAAAATTTAGGAGGACAAATTCGCACAGTGGGAAAAATTTAAAATTTAGGAGGACAAATTTGCACAGTGGGATAAATTTAAAATTTAGGAGGACAAATTCGCACAGTGGGGAAAAACATTTTTGAACCAGTATCAGTATTATGCATGCCCACTCATATGTTAGGTGAAGTTACGGTCAAGTGGGTGGAGGCAATACAAACAAAACTCCCCATGTGCATAGGGGGGGCCATATTCGGGGCAGGAAGATTAAAACCCAAGCACAGGAAATTATACACTGAAAAATACATCTTAGCTTTGTTTTTGTGTAGGTATTGTATGGCAAAAAACAATTAAATTAGGCGTGGTTTAAAAATTATGTCATGCAGTGTAGGACATTTGAACTACTCGATGTCATGTACACTGAGTGACAATATTTTTGAATTTTTTAAAAATTTAGTTTTCATGTTTTCTGTAAATTTAACGTTTGGCTACCGGATAACAGATGGCGCTGTTCAAAGGACAAATTCGCACAGTGGGATAAATTTAAAATTTAGGAGGACAAATTCGCACAGTGGGATAAATTTAAAATTTAGGAGGACAAATTCGCACAGTGGGATAAATTTAAAATTTAGGACAAATTCGCACAGTGGGATAAATTTAAAAAATTTTTAATAATTGTTTGATAGTTTTCTGTAAATTTAACGTTTGGCTACCGGATAACAGATGGCGCTGTTCAAAGGACAAATTTGCACAGTGGGATAAATTTAAAATTTAGGAGGACAAATTCGCACAGTGGGATAAATTTAAAATTTAGGAGGACAAATTCGCACAGTGGGGAAAAACATTTTTGAACCAGTATCAGTATTATGCATGCCCACTCATATGTTAGGTGAAGTTACAGTCAAGTGGGTGGAGGCAATACAAACAAAACTCCCCATGTGCAAAGGGGGGTCATATTCGTGACCGGAAGATTAAAACCCAAGCACAGGAAATTATACACTGAAAAATATCTGCCCTGAGCTATACAGACTGGTAAAAATATGGATTTCCTACTAAATATTTATTTTGAGAAAAGGTGGGAGCAAAATGTGCAAGAATTGTGTCAAGAAATTAACATGGTGCCTTTAAAATTAGAGGAATAGAGTGTATTTATTGAAATATATGTTATATTTATTGAAAATGTGTTTTTTTTGTTGTTAATGTGACAAATATACATCTTAGCTTTGTTTTTGTGTAGGTATTGTATGGCAAAAAACAATTAAATTTGGCGTGGTTTAAAAATTATGTCATGCAGTGTAGGACATTTGAACTACTCGATGTCATGTACACTGAGTGACAATATTTTTGAATTTTTTAAAAATTTAGTTTTCATGTTTTCTGTAAATTTAACGTTTGGCTACCGGATAACAGATGGCGCTGTTCAAAGGACAAATTCGCACAGTGGGGAAAAACATTTTTGAACCAGTATCAGTATTATGCATGCCCACTCATATGTTAGGTGAAGTTACAGTCAAGTGGGTGGGGCCATATTCGGGGCAGGAAGATTAAAACCCAAGCACAGGAAATTATACACTGAAAAATATCTGCCCTGGGCTATACAGACTGGTAAAAATATGGATTTCCTACTAAATATTTATTTTGAGAAAAGGTGGGAGCAAAATGTGCAAAAATTGTGTCAAGAAATTAACATGGTGCCTTTAAAATTAGAGGAATAGAGTGTATTTATTGAAATATATGTTATATTTATTGAAAATGTGTTTTTTTTGTTGTTAATGTGACAAATATACATCTTAGCTTTGTTTTTGTGTAGGTATTGTATGGCAAAAAACAATTAAATTAGGCGTGGTTTAAAAATTATGTCATGCAGTGTAGGACATTTAAACTACTCGATGTCATGTACACTGAGTGACAATATTTTTTAATTTTTTAAAAATTTAGTTTTCATGTTTTCTGTAAATTTAACGTTTGGCTACCGGATAACAGATGGCGCTGTTCAAAGGACAAATTTGCACAGTGGGATAAATTTAAAATTTAGGAGGACAAATTCGCACAGTGGGATGAATTTAAAATTTAGGAGGACAAATTCGAACAGTGGGATAAATTATAATTTAGGAGGACAAATTCGCACAGTGGGATAAATTTAAAATTTAGGAGGACAAATTTGCACAGTGTGATAAATTTAAAATTTAGGAGGACAAATTTGCACAGTGGGACAAATTTAAAACTTAGGAGGACAAATTCACACAGTGGGATAAATTTAAAATTTAGGAGGACAAATTCGCAGTGGGATAAATTTAAAATTTAGGAGGACAAATTCGCACAGTGGGACAAATTTAAAACTTAGGAGGACAAATTTGCACAGTGTGATAAATTTAAAACTTAGGAGGACAAATTCGCACAGTGGGATAAATTTAAAATTTAGGAGGACAAATTCGCACAGTGGGACAAATTTAAAACTTAGGAGGACAAATTTGCACGGTGGGATAAATTTAAAAATTAGGACAAATTCGCACAGTGGGATAAATTTAAAAATTAGGAGGACAAATTTGCACAGTGGGATAAATTTAAAATTTAGGAGGACAAATTCGCACAGTGGGACAAATTTAAAACTTAGGAGGACAAATTTGCACAGTGGGATGAATTTAAAAATTAGGAGGACAAATTCGCACAGTGGGATGAATTTAAAAATTAGGAGGACAAATTCGCACAGTGGGATAAATTTAAAAATAGGTGGCAAATTCGCAGTGAGCCAAATTTAATTTAAAAAACGAAAGGACAAATTCTCACGGTGGAAAAAAATTAATAAATGGGAGGAAAAAATCGCACAGTGGGATAAATTTAAAAAATTGGAGGACAAATTCGCCGTGGGACAAATTTAAAAAATGGCGGGGGAAATTCGCACATTGGGGTAAATTTAAAAAAAGAAAGGACAAATTAGCAGTGGGATCAATTTAAAAAATCGGAGGGCAAATTCGCAGTGGGACAAATTTAAAATATGGTTGGAAAAATTCGCACATTGGGGTAAATTTAAAAAACGAAAGGACAAATTCGCACGGGGGGATAAATTTAAAAAACGAAAGGACAAATTCGCACATTCAGATAAATTTAAAAAAATAGGACAAATTCGCACAGTGGGACAAATTTAAAAAATGGTGGGTCAAATACGCACAGTGCGATCAATTAAAAAAATGTTAGGAAAAATTCGCTCGGTGGAATAAATTTAAAAATGAAAGGACAAATTTGCAGTAAGACAAATTTAAAAAATAGTGGGACAAACACGCAAAGTGCGATAGATTTAAAAAATGGTAGAAAAAATTGCGTCTTCACGTTTGGGTGCACACGGACATAACTTGGTAATTTTTTGATAAAAAATCTGCAAAACCACAAACACAGCTATTAAAATGATTGATTTATTAAACATTATTATAAGATTCAATAAAATTCTGTTCAATTGCTCAAGGTCTTAAAATAAAAGTGAGAATCGAAATGGGTAAAATTTATTTATCGTTTTCACATCACAAGAAACAAACATACAATGAGAGAACAACCTCTGTCGTAATGAATGTTACATTTAATGATATTTATTGGAAAACACCTGTCCATCGATAAGTTAGATCAGATTGATAGGTGTTTAGAATGTATTTTACCCATTTTTGGAACGTTGACAGCAAATTTGCATGGTGCTCTCTCTTGCGTCGCCAAAATGTTATCCAACGAATAATAATTTGGCGAATAGGCAGCCGGTAGAGGCATTTTTATGCAATTCAAACCGTTTTGAATTCAAATTAGTAACATAACCTCAATAATGTTCATTTAAACTACTACTTATATTTTTTGCAGATTCGTTTGTAATAGTAATAATATTAGTATTTTTAATCAACTATAAGAGAAGGAATACACATTATTTTTATTAAATATATAAGAAAATATAATATATAAATACTTTAATGAAAATATCGAAATTTAATAAATAAGCTAGCCGTAATCTTGGTTGCATAAAAAAAATTTTACTTGAAAATTATAAAAATCTTGCATTAATTTTTCTAAATTTCTAATAAACACTTTGTTTTATTGTAAATGAATAAATAATAAAACTACCATTTCAGTCATTATCATCATTTTATTCCACTTAAAAATTAATACTATACAAACAGTCTTTAACATAATGGTATCCTTAAAAAATAAAAAATGCAATCAAAAAACATAATTTGTGTGTAAAATTTGTAGAAATACCATCTTGCACAATCTCGCAACGCCGCAACAACAATTTTTCAAATTCCTACGTTTAATATAAACAATTTAATTAAATAAATTCGCTATAATACAATCGGCCATGTTAACCAGGCAACCAACCACAAAAACTTAAATATTGGGTAACTGCATCTTTGACTGTCGCTTCTTTTGTTTCGTCTATTTGGTGCTTCAAAGGGTTCATCAAGTTTTCCTGAAAACAAAAGAAAAAATGACAAAGTGACTTGCCATAAGTTAACAGAACTGAAAAGTGTTTGCAAAGTTTTTTTTTATTTGAACTATTGAAAAACAAAATTTACATAAATCAAAAATAAAAAAAATAGATAATAGATAAAAATGCGCGAGGCATTTTTTTGTGGGCAATTTTCTAAAAAAAACTCCGATCTACATACAATTTTAATGAACTAAAATGTAATGTTAAAAAATAGCGAGATATTTGCAAAAAACGATGACGATTTTTCCTGAAAACTCAAAAACTATATCGAATACATAAAAACTATGTGGAACTTTTTTGTAGACAATTTTCCGATCTACATTTTTTATAATAAACAAAAATGTCGTAATGGTAATAAAAAGCGAGATATTTGCAAAAAACAGTATGGTGCGGCACTAAAATTTGTATTTAACATTAAAACTCAAAAACTATACCGAATACATAAAAACTGTATGAGACTTTTTTGTAGGTAATTTTCCAATCTATAATTTTTATAATGAACAAAAATGTCGTAATGTTAATAAAAAGCGAGATATTTGCAAAAAACATTACGGCGCGGCACTAAAATATGTATTTTTCATAAAAACTCAAAAACTATATCGAATAAATAAAAACTGTGTGGGACTTTTTTGTAGACAATTTTTTGATCTACAATTTTTATTATGAACAAAAATGTCGTTATGTTGTTAATAAGTAAGATATTTGTTCAAATAAAAAATAACCTTTTGTAACTTTTCTTCTTTAATTAATGACATGCAGATTATGTGGTGAACCTACTAGGAAACATATTTACCTGAATAATGAGAGATTTCAAGGTGTTGTAATGAATTGGTTGAATGTTTAAAGTTGTGCAAAACTGAAAAACAATTTAAAAAAATCGACTTACTTGTTTTGCAAACCAAAAAACTACATACAGGGTGTTATGTAATTAATGTTATATATTAAAATACTGAATACCTTTTGACATAAGGAATAAAGGAAAAATATTTAAAAAAACATTTTTCCAAAGATAAAGAAAAAATATGCATTAGAAGTTTTTTATATTTTTTGTGATACGCCACTGGTTACACACTTGTTTATCTCTGCACACCTGTATTTTGTGAGTACATAGATACCAACCAACAAAGTAGCTATGCGTTGCCAGATGTAAAAAATTGTTACTAAAAATTTTTCTTGCAAAAAATAAATAAAAACTCAATAAATACAAAAGTTTTATGCCCTTAAAGCTCTAATACCCTTCTGTATTTATTTACTGATCCAGCTATTAGCTTAAGCAATGATTAGAAAATTTAGTACCTTTAAAATTTGAAATCCATAACCACAAAATTAATTTTTTCATCAGTTTTTTTCTCTGTTTACTCAGATGAAATTGGGACCAGTTCACAGGTTAAACTTTAAACATTTAATTTGTGTAAATAAATCCAAAAGCACTTCCCTTAGTTAAGATATATACAATTTGAAAACATAACCTAAAATTTAAAAGAAATGCACTATAGATTCTGTCATAAAAGTTGGCAGATTTTGTTTGAATTTATCTTCAGTACAAAAATGAAATAACCAACAATTAATAAAAACGCGAAATTGACAATATGCATTGTTAATTTTGTCATTTTTGTAATTAAGCTAAATTTAAACAATGTTTGTCAACTTTTTTGAGAGATTTTGGAAAAACTGTTGTTACCAACCAAAACATAATAAATCCACCAGATTAACCCAAAGTTCCTAGTCGATCAGTGACGTACTTTTTGGTAGGATAAAGGTTATTATAAATTATTTTTTAATTTAGAAAAAAAAGTTTCAGGTGCTTCTTTATGGACCCTAAGGAACAACCCATTTTAATATATAACATTAATTACATAACACCCTGTATGTATAAATGAAAAATGAACGTTGCTTTTGTCGCTCGGTGTACTCACTTGTATCTCGTTTTGCGAGAGCAAATTTTCCGCCGGCTGCGCGTTCGGCGGCGGACGCGGTGTTGCCATTGTTGTTGGGGGGGTTGCGACGTTGTCAGGCTTCCGGCTCGAGCTGCTGTGCGTTGATAAGCTGCTCGCGCATGCGTCTTCTGTGTGCCACGTGTACCTTCTTTCGGTGGAATTTTGGTCGCTTTCGCCGTTTCTAAAACGAACACCATGTGGAACGGGAAAATAATCGGGTCGCAGAGTCAAATAATAACCCATTTTTTGACTTTCTGTGAAACCTAATTTTTTTTATATTCTTGTTAATTAGGTCATAACTAAAATTTTAAGAGCAAAATAAAAAAAATTTGACGGTTTGAATTGTTTTAATTGGATGTTTATTAAAAATATTATGCACTCTTTCAATTATCCAATTAAAACTAGCGATTTAATTTAACTATTTAATATTTGCATAACTAAAAAAAGGTTTTTACAATTTTTTTTATATATTTTACTGTTTAGTTGCAATAAACGTTCAAACTTTTAATCTAACCTTTGACGTATACATTTATGTTCCCTGAATTAATATATCCTTAAAGGTTGCCATGAAACTTAGATCTATTAAAAATTTATTTGACGTTTGAATTGTCATTTTCAGTATACGTTTTCTATAATTTTTGTTTAGTTTTTTAAAGTGTTTTTTATAAACAAAAATGAAAAATTGTAGTAAAAGTTACGAAGAAATTCATGAAATTTAACTAAGGATCGGTTTATTCATCTTTAGTAAAGTTTATCGGGCCGATAACTTTCATGTCTTGGCAATATCTAGTATCCAAAGAAATTATTCGTCAAATAAATTAAAAATGAATAAATCGGCCCTAAATAAAATGTGGCACCCTTAGAATTATTGTTTAATAAATGTATACTATACATTTAACCTTAAATTAAAACTTTAAACGTGTATTACAAAACAGTAAAAGATATAAAAAATGTATAGACCTTTTTTTAGGAAATTAACTAATCTTTAATCTGATTTAAAAAGTTATGATAATATTTAAATAAAATCGCAAGTTTTAATTGGAGAATTGAAAGTGTGCATACATATTTTTAATAAATATCCAATTAAAACAAAATTAACCGTCAAATTTTTTTTTATTTTGCTCTTAAAATTTTAGTTATGACCTAATTAACAAGAATATAAAAAAAATTAGGTTTCACAGAAAGTCCAAAAATCACCTCTCAGAACAGCACCGTGCATTGATTGCATGCAAACGTTACAAAAAGTATAAAACCATAAACCCCGTACCTATGTAAAGTACTATGCTCCACACCTCAAAGTCCCACCACGTGACCACGTACGGAACGCAGTCTTTTGAAAATTTGGCATTCAAGGCTTTTCAGGTTATGTATCTGTCAAAGTATGGTCAACGAAAGAAATAATATTATGTTTAGGCGTTAAAAATGTATAAATCTTTATAACATTACAATAACAATGGATGGTTTAAGAATTTAAGAATATAAATACTGCATTTAATGAAATTCCAAAGTATATGGTGCCAAATAAGTAATATTTTTGTGCATTTGGTCCAAATATCTGGTTTTCTCCATAAAATAATTTTAACTAAACAGCATTTATTTAAAAAAATCTAGCTTCTCTATAATGGAATAAGAATATCTGTATTAAAGGTAGGTTAATATATTATAACAAAAATATCATCTAATTTTGTAATTTTAAGGTTAGAAAAATATATTTTGACCAAAATAAATAAGTATTTTGAATTATTTAAAAGACTGTATAATATGGTATTTAAAAATTTGGTAGTTTTTCTTATCCAGCTTAAAGTGTACCTACCTACATAAAGTTTTGTCAATACAAATAGTTAAAAAGCTTCGACTGAATTTGATCTACATCAAAAAATCATTATAACTTTAAAAATTTTAATAAATCACATGTCATGAGAGTATTAAATATTTTCACATTGCAAGTTTCTTTAAAAATTGTTTGTTTTCTTATAATCTAACTTAAAGTAAGTATGCAGAGAGGTATGCACAAGTTTTGTCGTTTGAAGTATAAAAGCTTCAATTTAATTTGAACTATATTCAACAATTATTTAGTATACCTATATTTATTTATGACCATATTAACACACTCTTTCAAATAATCCACTTATTTATTTTGGTCAAAATAGATTTTTCTAACCTTAAAATACAAAATTAGATAATATTTTTTGTTCTAATACATTAACCTACCTTTGATACAGATATTCTTATTTCATAATAGAGTTTTTTTTTTTTAATAAATGCTGTTTAGTTAAAACTATTTTATGGAGAAATGTAGACCCAATGCACAAAAATAACACATATATTGCACCTTACACTTTGGAATTTCATTAAATGCAGTATTTATATTCCTAAATTCTTAAACCAACCATTGTTATTGTGATACTATAAAGATTTATTAACTTTTAACGCTTAAACATAAGCGGTAACACTATAAATATTATATATATACTTTGACAGATACATAACCTGAAAAGCCTTAAATGCCAAACTTCTAAGAGACTGCGTTCCGTACGTGGTCACGTGGTGGGACTTTGAGGTGTGGAGCACAGTACAAAAGTAATAAATAAATAAAAAATGGACTTACCCGTTTTCTGTTGGGGAGTCCTGAGGCATTGACATTACATAGCCACTGCTGCCCTAAGTTAAATGCAAACTGATACAATCTGTTTCTGTTTCTTTTAACTTTAGCCTGCACACAAACCAAACCATGACCCCATTGAATTAGGACAATGTATGAATGAGTATGAGTACGGGTGGTAGGATGACGATAGTGGGAAAATTAAAACAAAAAAAAAATCACTAAGAACATTTTAACAGTTACTTAAACAAGTAAAATCACTGTTAGTTTTGTGCACAGATAAAAAAATTAAGAACCTTCACCGAAAAAAAAATTGAATTGTTACGTGAAATGAAGTGAAGTAAAATGGAACAAACAACCAAACATACCAAAAAATTAACCAAAAAACTCAAAAACTATACAGGGTGTTATGTAATTAATGTTATATATTAAAATACTGAATACCTTTTGACATAAGGAATAAAGGAAAAATATTTAAAAAAACATTTTTCCAAAGATAAAGAAAAAATATGCATTAGAAGTTTTTTATATTTTTTGTGATACGCCACTGGTTACACACTTGTTTATCTCTGCACACCTGTATTTTGTGACTACATAGATACCAACCAACAAAGTAGCAATGCGTTGCCAGATGTAAAAAATTGTTACTAAAAATTTTTCTTGCAAAAAATAAATAAAAACTCAATAAATACAAAAGTTTTATGCCCTTAAAGCTCTAATACCCTTCTGTATTTATTTACTGATCCAGCTATTAGCTTAAGCAATGATTAGAAAATTTAGTACCTTTGAAATTTGAAATCCATAACCACAAAATTAATTTTTTCATCAGTTTTTTTCTCTGTTTACTCAGATGAAATTGGGACCAGTTCACAGGTTAAACTTTAAACATTTAATTTGTGTAAATAAATCCAAAAGCACTTCCCTTAGTTAAGATATTTACAATTTGAAAACATAACCTAAAATTTAAAAGAAATGCACTAGATTCTGTCATAAAAGTTGGCAGATTTTGTTTGAATTTACCTTCAGTACAAAAATGAAATAACCAACAATTAATAAAAACGCCAAATTGACAATTTGCATTGTTAATTTTGTCATTTTTGTAATTAAGCTAAATTTAAACAATGTTTGTCAACTTTTTTGAGAGATTTTGGAAAAACTGTGGTTACCAACCATAACATAATAAATCCACCAGATAAACCCAAAGTTCCTGGTCGATCAGTGGCGTACTTTTTGGTAGGATAAAGGTTATTATAAATTATTTTGGAATTTAGAAAAAAAAAGTTTCAGGTGCTTCTTTATGGACCCTAAGGAACAACCCATTTTAATATATAACATTAATTACATAACACCCTGTATTGAATACATAAAAAATGTACGGGACTTTTTTGTAGGCAATTTTCCGATCTACAATTTTTATAATGAACAAAAATGTCGTAATGTTAATAAAAAGCGAGATATTTTGCAAAAAACATCATGGCGCGGCACTAAAATATGTATTTTTCATTAAAACTCAAAAACTATATAAAATATATAAAAAATGTACGGGACTTTTTTGTAGGCAAATTTCCGATCTACAATTTTTATTATGAACAAAAATGTCCTAATTTTATTAAAAACCGAGATATTTGCAAAAAACATCAAGGCGCGGCACTAAAATATGTATTTTTCATTAAAACTCAAAAACTATACTGAATAGATAAAAAATGTACGGGACTTTTTTGAAGGCAAATTTCCGATCTACAATTTTTATTATGAACAAAAATGCCGTAATGTTAATAAAAAGCGAGATAAGAAGTAAAATCACTGTCAGTTTTGTGCACAGATAAAAAAATCATAAACCTACACCGAAAAAAATTGAATTGAATTGTTAAGTGAAATGAAGTGAAGTTAAATGGGACAAACATCCAAACATACCAAAAAATTAACAAAAATTACTACCAAAATTCATCTTAATTAAAAAAAAAATCTTACTAAAATTTACTAGGTTAAAAACCGACTAAAAACTAAAAACGCACTTACAGATTTGCTTTGCCGCACCTGCTGCTGCCTCTGAAAGGCCGCATGCTGCTCATAGTGAATTATTTCCTCTTGAGTGGTGAGCCCCAAGGATCTGTACCGCAACAGTTCGCTCAATCGATGACGCAGCTCCCTTTCGCGTTCTATGCTCGCTATCACTCGGTCGTGCTCGCCGGAAGTCAGAAATTGCGCGAAAACGCGCGTTTTTTCCCTCAAATCTCTGTCGAAGAAAAAAAAAATTTCTGTGATTTTCTATTTTTTTGTAGGTCTATGGTTTGTCTACAATTTTGTATGTCGGTGGGATTGGTTTTCTATTTTGTTGTAAGTCTATGGTTGTCAGTGGGATTGGGTGTTTTAGGTTATGGGACATAGATGGCGTCGTAAAAATAATTAAAAAAGTATTAAAAACAATATCAAAATCACAAAAAATTAATTAACTTGTGTTTTTCTAAAATAAAATTTAATTTATATTTTACTTACCTTTGCTCTTTGGTTAAAGGCCTTTTAGGTGGATCCTTTCTCAAATTGGCAAAAAACTTTGATACCAACTGATAATCTCTGACAATCCTTTTTCGTCTCGCCCTCTCCCTCAGTCTTCTGGTATAAATATCCACCATTGAAAGCTTCAAAGCAACTTCCAAGTCAGTATCTTCGTTCGTATCTAGCTGCAGCTTCGAAACAAGCTGCTCGGCCTCCATGTTGTATTCCTAAAACAAAAATAGTCTAGTAGGCTGATTTTGTTTTATTTGGTTGGCAATGTGAACTGTCATAAGTGACATTTCTCACCCTTTCATAGTCATCCCGATGTGGTTTATAACCTAACAATCTGGCTTCTTCAGGGGTGACCTCGAGAGGTGGTAATCGAGATGTGGCAACAGGGGACAGAGGCCCACTGTCTTCAGGTACATGATCGTAGAGAATTGGCCTGTGGTTTTCCAATTCAGCCCATGTTGCTTTACCGATGTTGCCTTCCAAGTAGCGAGAGATGTATTCATCTCTTACTTCTGCAAAAAAAAATATTAATGTTGGTTTAAGGTACACATTCAAAAAAATTACCCTCTGTAGTTCTTGTTTCGACATGGTTGCTTACTAAATCCCAATTACCAAACCCATACAATTCTACAGCATCTAATAATAATAATTCTTCCCTCCCTGTCCAAGCTCCTTTACCACCGAAAATACTTGCAGCACAATGATCCTACAATTAAAGAAATAATCATTTTTGCAAGAAAAATTATGTTTTATTACTTACAACAAATTTATATGAGTGGTCATTTTTATGTGGCCCAATTTCTGCCCCAACAGCAAAACACTAAAACAAACAATTATTCAAATTTCGCGGCAAACAATAGAAAATCGACGCCGCCTTCGAAATTAACAATGGCCGCCGCCCTTGACCTTCTCACCTGCAGACAAGTATCGAATTCAGGACACACACAGCATTGCACTCGAACCCCGTTTATCTCTTCCTGGCAATAGGTACAGCTGACTTTCGTGAATATGTCTGAAATGAAGTTAATTGCGCCGTCGTTATTATGTAACGAGATTTTTTTCAGAAGCGTCACTTACCAGCCATTACAAACGTCAATTTGCATCTGGAGTGGGGGTGTTTGCATTCACAGCATTTTTTGACACTTTTTTGAAGCACTAAACGCTAACTTACTCGAAAATATGAGAGATTGTATGCCACGGAATGTTTTTTTGAAGTTTTGAATTGATTTTTGTCCTAATTGAGTCCAAAAGAAAACATAAATAAACAAACCAAGATGGCCCTGACGCCCACAGGACGGTAACATAAAAATAACAAAATTTGGTGTGGAATTTTGTAAATAACATAAAATAAGTATTCAAAATACTATTCTATAGAATTATAGAATATTATAATGGGGTTTTAACTATGTTGATAATAGTCTTAAAAACTGTACACCAATAAAAGCAAATAAAACTTTAAAATAAATAAATATGAAAAGCTATTTGATTTAAAGTCGGCTCTGATTTTTCTGCGCACGCGCCATCTGCAACATATGCTGACAGCTGGCGGCAAAATTATGACGTTTGTTTTTGTTGGTTAAGTCTAAATTGCAGTTTTTCGCGATAAATCGGCAAAATTTCGTGTGTGCAACGATGAAAATGGCTTGTAGTGTGCGTGTGGGTAACAGAAGCCTGCCGAATCAAGCGCAAAGTAAAAGTAAACATATAAAATCCACTTTGGCGCTATGTAAACACCCCAAAAACGAGGAGTATTATATCATTTTATTCTCCGGTTTATCGAAGAATGGCACTAAGTATACCATAAAAGGGAATTTGAAGAATGTTCTGACCAAGTTTTGTGCTGAAGGCAAAGCGACAATTCAATTTAAGGAACCTCCACATGATTTGTACATTCAGAGCGACAAAATTCAGTTGAAGTGCTTTTTGCACCTATTTAAAAGAGCCATAGAAAATAAAATCGGCCCCAACGAACTCACATGCTCCAGTCTTGCTGTGCAACCAATAAAACCCAAAGATTTAGCAGCTACAAAATTGGTTATAACGAAGAGATCCGATTACCCACTGAAAGGCTTCCCAAGGACTCTGGAGGTGCTGTATATCAACGATATTAACCGTTGCAGCTTGGATCGTGGGGTATTGCAGCTAATAAAGCTGAAAACTTTGGATTTAAGTCATAATTTAATTGAATTTTTACCCTATGAGTTGAATAGGTTGTCTCTTAAGGAATTAAACGTTTCTCACAATCAAATGGGTAAAGGGACGTTGAAACAGTGGAATTGGATTGATGGGTGTTTGGCTAAGTCGCTAGTTACGCTAAATTTAAGCCACAATGATTTAATTTTTGTTCCCGATCAGTTGGTTAAGTTGCAGAATTTAAACACATTGCATTTGTATGATAATAACTTGACAACATTGCCGAGTGGTATAGGAAATTTAAGGAATTTAAGGGTGTTTTCTGCGAGTAATAATAGGCTTGTGACTTTACCTGGGAGTATTAAAAAGTGGAGATTGCAGAGTTTGGATGTGGTTAATAACAACTTTGAGCCTGTAGTGCAAAATTTACCTTCTTCAAGAATACCGAAACCTCTACCAATACAAACACTGAAAGAATGTTCGGCGAGGGCTGTTTTGCAGCATAAAATTCCCTATCCGTTGGGTTCTATACCGAAAACTCTAACCCTACTTTTAGATCATGCTAAATACTGTGTTTGCGGGAAAGCTTGCTTCACAACTTACATAAAACACCCCCACATGTTACTATTAAACAATATCGCTGAAACCATCAGCACTTCTTCAGGAGATATGTCATATGTGCCCATTGACTGTTATTTTTGCTCAGTGAAGTGCTTCGGTATGAGTTTCCACAACCGTAGGACTGTTATGGTGAGGTAGGATGCGGTTGATATCCATTGAATGGATTTTTTATTCAACATTCGTTGATTTACTACTGTGATAATTTTCTCTATAAATTTGTCTGTATTTTTTATTTATTTATTACAAAGTGCCTTTGAATGTGCGTTTATTTAGGAATTTCGGTGTTAATGTAACGATTTTTATTTTTATTTCATTTAAAACATTCCTAGATATTCAGGAAAATGTCCATCACAATTCTAACCTTAATTTATTAGAGCCCTAATTTTCAGGGTCATTATTTTGATGAAAAATAGGTCTATAATCATTTCTATGCTTACTGTTTTACTAAAATATTTCTATGCTTACTGTTTTACTAAAATATTTAAATGTTAAAACTGCGCGCACAGGGCGGTAACATAATAACAAAATTTGGTGTGGAATTTTGTAAATAACATAAAATACTATTTTAAGTTGATAAAAGTCTCATATCAAAAATTTTACACTAATGAAAGCAAATAAAACTTTGAAATAAATAAATAGCAAGACGGCTCTGATTTTTCTGCGCACGCGCCATCTGCACATGCTGCCGGCATTATTATGACGTTTGTTTTTGTTGGTTAAGTCTAAATTGCAGTTTTTCGCGATAATTCGGCAAAATTTCGTGTGTGCAACGATGAAAATTGCTTGTAGCGTACGTGTGGTTTACAGAAGCCCGCCGAATCAGTCGCAAAGTAAAAATAGATATTTAAAATCAACTTTAGCGCTATGTAAACACCCAAAAAACGAGGAGTATTATATCGTTTTATTCTCTGGTGCATCGAAGAATGGAACTAGGTATACCATAAAAGGGAATTTGAAGAATGTTCTGACCAAGTTTTGTGCTGAAGGCAAAGCGACAATTCAATTTAATGAACCTCCACATGATTTGTTCATTCAGAGCGACACAATCCAGTTGAAGTGCTTTTTGAACCTATTTAAAAGAGCGATAGAAAATAAAATCGGCCCCGATGAACTCACATGCTCCAGTCTTGATGTGCAACCAATAAACCGAAATAAATTAGCACCTAAAAAGATGGCTATAAAAAAGGGATCCAAATACCCACCAAAAAGCTTCCCAAGGACCCTGGAGGTGCTTTATATCAATGATATTAACCTTTGCAGCTTGGATCGTGGGGTATTGCAGCTAATAAAGCTGAAAGTTTTGGATTTAAGTCATAATTTGATTGAATTTTTACCCTATGAGTTGAATAGGTTGTCGATTAAGGAATTAAACGTTTCTCACAATCAAATGGGCAAAGGGACGTTGAAACAGTGGAATTGGGTTGATGGGTGTTTGGCTATGTCGCTAGTTACGCTAAATTTAAGCCACAATAACTTAATTTTTGTTCCTGATCAGTTGGTTAAGTTGCAGAATTTGAACACATTGCATTTGTATGATAATAACTTGACAACACTGCCGAGTGGTATAGGAAATTTATGGAAATTAAGGGTGTTTTCTGCGAGTAATAATAGGCTTGTGACTTTACCTGGGAGTATTAAAAACTGGAGATTGCAGAGTTTGGATGTTGTTAATAACAACTTTGAGCCTGTAGTGCAAAATTTACCTTCTTCAAGAATATCAAAACCTCTACCAATACAAACACTGAAAGAATGTTCGGCGAGGGCTGTTTTGCAGCACAAAATTCCCTATCCATTGGGTTCTATACCGAAAACTCTAACCCTACTTTTAGATCATGCTAAATACTGTGTTTGTGGGAAACCTTGCTTCACAACTTACATAAAGCACCCCCACATGTTACTATTAAACAATATCGCTGAAACCATCAACAGTTTGTCAGGAGTTATGTCGTATGTGCCCATTGATTGTTATTTTTGCTCATTGAAGTGCTTCAACCACAACTGTATCTCATAGATTAATAATCCATTCAATGGATTTTTTATCAAACAAAAGTCTGATTTCATTTATTGATTAATACTCAGTACCTAACTACTGTGATAATTTTCTTTGTAAATTTGTCTGTATTTTTTATTTAGGTATTTATTACAAAGTGTCTGAATGTGCGTTTATTTGGGTGTTAATATAACGATTTATATGTCATTTAAAATATTCCTATACATTCTAGAAAATGTCCATCAAAATTCTAACCTTAGTTTATTAGAGATTTAATTTTCAGTCAGTATTTTGATGTAAAAAATGTATATAAATAATTTTTATGCTTACTGTGGTTTAAATTTTATTAAAATGTTTAAATTTTAAGCTAAACTTTAAATATATGTATTTTGATATTGCTTGTGCATGTATACATATTTGTGAGCAATACAAGTAGGTCTAAGTTTGAAAATAAAAGTTACCTATTTCAAGATTTTTATTTTTTAATTTTTACAACAAATATAAATTTTTTTAAAATTATTTTAATTAACACGTTCATGGACAGAACTGCAAATGCCGTCGGGCCCAATATGACACGACGGCTATAGCAGTCGCAATTTTCTAGCTGATTTATGACAAGCCTGCATATGCAGGCGCATTAATAATGAGATCCATACGAAGCTCTGACATATGTGTCCCATGAGACCTCATGTATTTTTGGTTGCAGAATGTAGTTGGTTGCAAATTAATTTTTATATGAGTTATCTGTTAAGCGCGATTCTTATCCTAAAATTCGGCCGTTTTTGTGACCGATTGTTGTTAGGTTGAGTAAAAATTTGATTGTTGTGAGGTGGAGTAAAATTTTGATGTAACAAAGCTAGTAATTATAAGTTTTTGAACAATTATATTATTTTTTATCACTATATAACTTCTATAACTATATTTTTATCGTTAAAATGTTTTTTCTCGTCCTAAAAACGCAATTTATTTTTATAAAATAAACTTAATATTATTTATAGGTATTATATAACTTATAAATTATAAGTATTTATAGATATTTATAGGTATATACCGTACCGTTGAAAATAAAAATAAATATTTAAATTTGAATCTAGACTTTTTGTCATTATTAAAGTATAATTTGTTTACCAGTGACTTTATACTACCATAATAGATAAGAAGAAATGAAAAAAACATGGACGGTTATGACCGTCATGACCCACCCCACCTTTTTTTTTGTAAAAAATCTCATAGTGGGGCATGACGGCTATAGCCGTCAAACTTTTTTAAAGGCAATATACAGCCCTAAAGGCATCATCAAGATACCGATAAAATTTTTTGATGATAGGATAAAAGGTGTATGAATTATTCAAGTGACGCAGCAGGTCCCGCCAAAAATTTGTCTGTGTCCATCAACGTGTTAAAAAAAACAAAATTAAATTATGGTTTGGGTGATTTACTATCTGATTCATTCATCAGTGTTACAAGAAGTTCCATCTGTTCCTTAATTATTCTTACACTGTCTTCAATTTCCACTAACATTACCTTTTGCCTGAAAAAAAGTTATACAGTGTGCTTTTAAAACTGAGTTTGATAATACCGCTCAAAATCTTCAAATTTTACAAAATCTTCATCATTTTGAGTTAGTGGTGTTGCTAAAATTAGAAAAAAGTAATAAAAGAAATAATATCGAAAAAAATAAACCTCACCCAGTGGTTCTAAGGGATTGTCCAAATCACCTAACAAATATTCTATATCGTCATTTTTCACTCTGGAAGTATCATCGATGTTGTAGCGTTTGAAAAACATGTCAATCTCAACATCGGAAAAGTGACACCTAAAAAAACGTACGTCCAATAAAAATGCTGGATAAAAACTTTGCGTTACTTTTTAAAAATCTCGGTTATTTGATCAACCGTTTTATCATAATCACTCAGAGATTTGGTCTCCCTTATTTTGAAGTTTATTTTCATAAATTTCAGCATTCTTAAAATTTTTGGCTTCAAAAAATCCAACATGAGCATTTCTTGTTTTGACTGCGATTGTTCTTCCAAAACCAAACTGTATGAGTCATTTATGATGGCCAATAACATGTTCTATAAAGTTCAATGGTTTTTGCGTTAATTATATTATTCATGGCTGTGCGCAGTATTTGGAAAAATAGACTAAAATGTCACTAGCTATAAACCCTGCTACTATTTGGAACGTACCTGCTACGTTACTAGAACGTTTCAATATCGTTGCTAGAGCGTTATAATTACTTATATTTATTCCCAAGCAACAATTTAAGTATTTGTTACGTATATGGGACTATTGAAGAAACTTTAAAGTGTTTTGCGACAGTCGCCGGTCTCTTTATATTACTCTTTCATTACTAAGTTACGACTAAAGTGGGGAACAATTATTGAGTTCCAAAAAGGTAGCAAATAGGTCACTAGCTATAAACCCTGCTACTATTTGGAACGTAGCTGCTACGTTACTAGAACGTTCCAATATCGTTGCTAAAGCGTTATAATTACTTTTATTTATTTGTTTTTACTTCTATATTAACTGTCTTTGTCAAACTTATATTAGCTTATACTATCCCTCCTTTTTTAAATGGAACCACTACGGACTTGGCTTTTCAATGTCGTCGTTTATTAAATATGTACTGGTAGTTTAAAACTTCCAGAATAACAATATAATGTTTAATAAGGCAGGTAAATTTATAAACCCTTTAAATTTTACTGTTGAACTTATGAATTTAGTTTTTGTAAAATAAATGCGCTTCATCAATATTTAAGTATAAACAAATTATTTATTTAATAATGTTTATAAATAAAAAAATCTTAATATTTATTATTAATTTTTTTATTTAATTATTAATACCGTCTATTACCAACAAAATTACTATTTATTAAAAAGTAAACAACCATTTACAAACAATTAAAATAATTTATTATTTACATTACCACGTGGTACTGTACAGTAAAAAATGGCCGATAAGAAGCATTTTCCTTTGAAGTAGTTTTCGCTACTTTAAAGTTTTTTTCCACTTTACGGTTGTTTTGGTTAGTACCATAAACGTTCCAAATACTAAAATAATAACTTTTAAGTTATTAACTTTGTAGTTTTTAACTCATGTTCCAGTTTCGAGATTTTAACTTGCAAAGGGACTACAAAGTAAAAATAATTATAATGTAATCTTTAGGTAGCAACCGAAAGTAACTGCTACAAATTAAATTTACTTTAAAGTTTTTTTTACTTATAACACCTTTTTTAAAGTTGCAAAGTCTTCTTGGGGGCAACCAAGTTTTACTTAAATGTTTATTACTTTATAGTAACCATTTAAGGAAAAATTAAGTTTCTCTTACAAAATATTGCTATTTAAAAGTTAGAGTTACTTTTAAGTAAAAATTAAAGTAGCTGTTTAGTATAATTAACTAATTTAAAGTTATCACCACTTTGGCAATGGTTTTTGGAACCAAAAATGTTGCTTGGGTTTCTATATTAACGGCCTTTGTCAAACTTATATTAGATTATAATATCCCTCCTTTTTTAAATGGAACCACTACGGACTTGGCTTTTCAATGTCGTCGTTTATTAAATATGTACTGGTAGTTTATAACTTCCAGAATAACAATATAATGTTTAATTATGCAGGTCAATTTATACACCCTTTAAATTTTACTGTTGAACTTATGAATTTAGTTTTTGTAAAATTAATGCGCTTCATCAATATTTAAGTATAAACAAATTATTTATTTAATAATGTATATAAATAAAAAAATCTTAATATTTATTATTAATTTTTTATTTAATTATTAATACCGTCTATTACCAACAAAATTACTATTTATTAAAAAGTAAACAACCATTTACAAACAATTAAAATAATTTATTATTTACATTACCACGTGGTACTGTACAGTAAAAAATGACCGATTAGAAGCATTTTCCTTTGAAGTAGTTTTCGCTACTTTAAAGTTTTTTTCCACCTTAATTTACTTTACGGTAGTTTCGGTTAGAACCATAAACGTTCCAAATACTGAAGTAATAACTTTTAAGTTATTAACTTTGTAGTTTTTAACTGATGTTTCAGTTTCGAGATTTTAACTTGCAAAGGGACTACAAAGTAAAAATAATTATAATGTAATCTTTAGGTAGCAACCGAAAGTAACTGCTACAAATTAAATTTACTTGAAAGTTTTTGTTACTTATAACACCTTTTTTAAAGTTGCAAAGTCTTCTTAGTAACCATTTAAGGAAAGAATGAAGTTTATGTTACTAAATATTGCTATTTAAAACTTAGAATTACTTTTAAGTAAAAATTAAAGTAGCTGTTTAGTATACTTAACTAATTTAAAGTTATCACCACTTTGGTAATGGTTTTTGGAACCAAAAATGCTGCTTGGGATATTTTATCAACCAATTTACATTTTAGATGATTTTATTGACCAAAAAACAAATCTAGTTAACCATGATTTATATTAGCGATATTATTTTCCAACTTAAACCCCCAAAACCCCCCCTTGCGCACAGGCCTGATATCAATATAATGTTTATTACCAGTAGAATAAAGAAAACAATTATCATGAAAAGTGTGAAAAAAATCGGTGCCATTATATAGTCAGCGTCTTCAATTTGTTCATAGTTAAAATCGCTCAAAACTGCTTTCAATAAGGTGAATATTGAATCTCCGAATGTGTAATATGATTTCAACTAAAACGTTAAAAATTATTGAAATCACTAAAATTCAAATATTTTTAATACGAACCTGCCTCCCAAACAATAGGTGTCCCCAAAAAGCGAACGCAACCATTACGAGAAAGAATAAAATTGAAAAGGCAAAAATGTCGCGTATGCACTAAAAAAAGTGTTAATTTAACGTATATTTAACGTTAATTTAACGTATATTTAACGTTAATTTAACGTATATTTAACGTTAATTTAATTGGTAATTGGCCAGTTCTCAATAAAGTTTTCACCTTCACAAAGGCTAATTGCAACAGACTCAAAGATCGACTGACATCCAAAAACTTGAAAAATTTCAAGTAAACAATAAACATCAGAATGGCTTCCAAAGATTTCATTAAACCTTGAGTGCTTTCCAAAGCATCAAAGTTAACAAAATGATCAGGATGCGTCTCCAATTCTTCGACCACTTCTCTTATTTGCATCAACTTGTAAACATTTACAAAAACAATGCCGAATGAACACTGGAAAAAAGAATCCATTTGAGGTTATGTTACAAAAATTATCCACTCAAATTTTCGATGAATTTCAATCGCAAATAACTTTATTATTTGATGTCGGATTTAAACGAGTATTAAAGAATATTGTAGATACATTAATGGACAATCGCTCACATTTTAAAAAATTACTAAAAAAATACACGTACGTTTATTATACAGGTTTAAACAAAAAGATGTTTTTTACCATAAGTTTAAGACACTCTGTAGAGTGTCAAAACCGTATATTGTTCTAAATTAAGTTTTATTTATCAAGTCACATCTATTCTTAACAGTTTTGTTTTTGGTTCTCCTCGATATATTTATTTTTGTGGAAAATATGGATTTTTTTAAAAAACATTGCAATTTATTATTATTATTATTTTTCTATATGAAGAACTAAGGTTGCTATGGTCCATCCATACTATGGATTCCATAGGCTATGGAGAATGACAGTGACAGTTTTGTTGAATCATCCCATACTTGGATATGTTATACACGGCTTTCAAAAGCTATCAAATTGTTTTTTGCAAATTGATGTTTAAATTTTGAGGTGTCTTCTTATTTTAAAAAATGGATATGTCTCCGACTGATGTTGCCAGAGCCATTAATTTAATCCAGGATGGACGGTCACAGTATTACGTGGCAAGTGTTTTAAACGTCACAAGAAGTAAAGTACAAAGGGCAACATCAGTCGGAGACATTTTTAAAAGTAAGAAGACACCTCAAAATTAACACCTTAATTTACAAAAAACAATTTGATAGCTTTTGAAAGCTGTATATATATATATATATATGACATGTCCAAGTATGGGATGATTCAACAAAACTGTCACTGTCATCCTCCATAGGCCATGGATGGACCATAGCAACCTTAGTTCTTCATACAGCAAAAATATTGGAAATTGCAATGTTTTTTAAAAAAAAATCCATATTTTCCACAAAAATAAATATATCAAGGTGAACCAAGAACAAAACTGTTAAAAATAGATGTGACTTGATAATTAAAACTTAATTTAGAACAATATATATTGTATATATATATTGTATATACGGTTTTGCCACTCTACGGAGTGTCTTAAACTTATGGTGAAAAACATCTTTTTGTTTAAACCTGTATATTATAAACGTACGTGTATTTTTTTAGTAATTTTTAAAATGTGAGCGATTCTCCATTAATGTATCTACAATATTCTATAATATTTGTTTAAATCCGAAATCAAATTAAAAAGTTATTTGCGATTGAAATTCATAGAAAATTTGTGTGGATCGATTATTTTGCCTGTGAGTGTATATATAATAATTTCGTTTTATTTACTATAATTATAGATATCTCGATCCAACTCCAGAACTTGGAAAAATACTTCCACTTAAAAAAAATCATATCGCGAATTTCTTCGATTAAAAAGTAAACGGCGTATAAACTAAGAAAAATTTCTAAAAAAATCATAAAATTGTCCGTAACGTTTAGACTTTTAGACAAATCCGTTGTCTGGATTTGTTTAGAGGGCAGGACACCACCAGTCACATGCAGTTCAAATATAAACCTAAAATATTAAATTAAATAAATATTAAATTTGTATGTGGAATAAGAAAAATCACGATACACAAACACCGGTGTCCATCTTAAAAGTCATAGAACAGATGACAAATGCAAACTTTGCCGCCTTTTTACAAAAAGTAAGGTTAGGTTTCCAGCATACCGATTTTTGCGTATCATGGAATGAGAAAAATGTTTACTTGCAAACCGCGAACAGATTAACGTTGGCATTGTAAAAAACAAAGTCCAGAAACACTGCCCGTGTTGCCAAGTCCAACCATTTTTCATTTTTTAAATAATCCGTCAACTTGAAGGCTTCTTCTTTATCTTGGGGGAAATCCCAGTAGTAGCCTCCTCCAGCGTAGTTTGTAACTTCACCACTTATTGTCAGACTTTTTGTGATAGAGGCATCCCTGTATATCCATCTTTTGGAAAAAGAAATTTTGTTAAATTGTATTCTTGCGCATTGGCGCCATATCCCGCGGAATTAAAAATCGCATTCAATTAAAAATAATATATCTATATAAAGTTCATTTTTTTTATCTGGACTCGTGTTTTTTTGTTAGGTTGGTGGCTTATGCCAGTTTGACTTAGTATTTTTAGTATTTAAAAGATGGTACTTCTGCTAAAGAATTTAATTAAATACTTTGACAGTGTCAAATTGACAATAATGTTTATTATTGATAATTTACTTGTCAATTATAAATAAAAAGATAATTATGCCAAAAATAATAGCAACGAATTCGAATGTAAAAGCCCTTTTGAGGGCAAAACTTCATTTTGATGAAATTATGCCACAATGGAAGAAAAAGTACATCGCCTTATGGACATTTTTGGAGTAAAAAACCCAGTAAGCACAAGATAGACGGGCCGCTTAAGGACCGAATACGTTTGGCCGAATTGGCCGCGTTCGGGCCGCTACACGGTACAAAGCCGGCATGTACACCGGGCATGTCCGCCCGGCCGCCTGGACGTCTTTGAGAGCTCGGCCGCCTGGTCGGCTGCGAGGGCTCGGCCGAGTGTCGGCCACCACCGTGTGGCCGGGTGACGGCCATCACCGTGTGGCCGGGTGACGGCCATAACTGTCTGGCCGAATGCCGGGCATGTACGCCCGGCCGAATGTCGGTTAATAGACGGCCACACGAAGCTGCAATAGATAAAATAATAAAAAAAAATCAAAATTATAAATAAAATGTTTATTCTTAAATAAAATTTCTACAAATAAATATAACAATATTCTAAAACATAAAATAAATATCATAAATAAATAAATCAGTTCAAAAAGTTTAAATTTACTATATAGTATAATTACTGACGGGACAAGCAAACACAAAACAAAATGTTTTATGAAAATTTGTGAAGATGTGCTGTTCCTATAATAATAACTTTATTATGGTTATTATTACTAATTTTTATTGCTGAGGAATGTCATAAAATTATTATTATAGGAACAACACATCTTTAAAAATTTTCATAAAACATTTTGTTTTGTTTTTGCTTGTCCCGTCAGTAATCATGGAATCGCCCTACATCAGTATAAGAACCAGAACATAGAAACAATAGAGTTTATACATAGTATACACGGAGAAAAATATATATTAAAATTTGTTATAAGATTTAGCTGTCACTATATTTAACGTAAAATATAATAAATATTATTATATTTCTCATATCATTTATTATATTTTATGAGAAATATAATAATATTTATTATATTTTACGTTAAATATAGTGACAGCTAAATCTTATAATAAATTTTAATATATATTTTTCTCCGTGTAGTCATATTGAAAAATCGTCATGTTTATTTCTCATTGCCTTTCCTTCTGCCGGTTCGTCCACCTGCTCGATCGGGAGCATTTTTTAACCATATTTTAATGGCCCCATTTATTTCCGAATTTGTGGCACTGGAACAATTTAAATTTCGACGTATTGATCCTATAAATAAAAACTTAAAAAAATGGTTATAAAAGTTTTAATAAACCTTACCATATAAAAGCTTTAAAACATAATCTTGTGAACAATCCTCAATAAGGCATTTCATCTGTTCAGCGATTTTTCGCCGTTTTTGTCTAATACTTAGATTCATGGTAGGTTACTTACTGTTCATCCATGATAAAAACGACACATACAAAACCAAAGTCAACGTACTTTAAAACACTTTAACAACAATGTAGGCACAGAGTGAATGTAGGCGACCTGCCAACCATAAAACAATGTTTAACCATATAACAATGTATAACAATAACTTATGTTCTGTGCGACCTGACAACCATAAACAAAAACACCACAGATTATAAAAGAAAAACACTTTCAACGCAATTATAACAAACACACGCAATGGCGGCAATGCACTTGTCGGACAACAGAACGGACTGAGCATGGTTGATAGCTATTGGCCAACGCGATAACCCAGCAAGAGCGGCTAATTTAAATCTCGCCCAAATCCAATTTACAATATTAAATCGTGATGCTGGACGGCTTCGGCTAGAATATGGTCATTCGCTAACCGGGCTTACATACACGGTCCGTACGCGGATCGGTTGGGGGCAAGCCGAACCGCATATGCAACGGCATTGCCACAGTAAACTGTGGCATTGCCGCTATCTAACCGAACAGGGTTAGACGATGGCCACACGGTAACCGGGCTACCATAATGAGGACCGTAAGCGGGCCGCCTGGGGCAAGCCGAACAGCCGGCCTGCCGCTTGTGCCGAGCGGAGGCCGACAGTTTGCCGAATGCCTTGTGCTTACTGGGAAGTAACGAATTTGGTTTTATAAATATTACATCACACATTATTTTCACATAATTCACCATTGGACAACATTTACGTTCACAAAAAATCTTATTATCCGCTAGGAATACTTTCTCTTCTGGGCCGTAAAGCAACCTATATTTAACTTTTTTTATATGATTTTACTCATCCAAGCACCACCAAAGCCAAATTAATTGCATTTTTAACTACGAATTTCGACAACTCCACTTGACAACTGCACAATGTAACCTACAATAATTTATACGTAACCACAATTAGATTTACAACTAGCTTAGTTTGTTTTAATCAATGCGACCAACTTGAAAAACTTTATTTACCAACCAAAACCCTAAATTTGCAACGTTGCCGCAGTCCAGATAAAAAAAATGAACTTTATATATGCATATTTTTGACGAACGACCCGTTTGATACCCAGATTCAGGCGTTTTGAATCCAAACGATTCTTTGTCTTCGTAAGATGAGCTGTAAGTGGCAAAACAATGTTTGAAATGTTTTTTTAACTGATAGGGAATGTTGCAAGAGTCGTTTTTCATTCGAACCTGTGAACAAAACGATATTATTTGTTTGGTAAAATCATTCCACCTACCTACTGTCAATATGGCAGAAATTTTGCGGTCCTGATGAACAAAGTGGGGATGTAATACGAGTATTTTATGCAACCAATTATACATTTTAACTTAAAAATTTTAAGATGTGTCTACTG